GGCACACATAACTGAGACTGCGCCTTTTAGCACAGTGCGCCTTATGGTCGTGAAAATACGGTAATCGTAATTTCTCATTCTTCTTCTTCTTAAGGTTCAATATTAATTTGAATACCTCTCTTACTATTTGAAGCACTCACTTCATTTGAACCAATTTCCCCTATCGCCCGTTTCCAACTTGGCATTCCAACCAGACTTTCATTGTCGTCAATTCATTCATTGTAGTCCAGTCAAAGGCCAGCTTATGCTAACTGCTGTCTACCTTCTTCCTCCAAAATTAAGCCAGCCTCCACGAGAGCTTCTCTAGCTAGGTAGGTCACATCTGCTTCCAGCATCTCACCCTGGTAGAAACTCCGTGATGAAGCTGGAACTCTTTCCAAACACAGGAAACAGATCAGGGAGCAGAGACCCACGTGGTTCACGCTGATCTCACCTATGATCCGGGAGACAAGGGTGGGCAGATCGATGCAGATACCGATCCAAATATTTGTAGAGGAACCAGAGGAAAAGGCAATGGTGACTGAAAGAATTGTGACTGGAATTCTTTGTGTTTCTTCAAGCATTTTTACCTATAATTTGAGGGACTTCTTCAGTTCTGAGACCAATTGATGGAGATCCCAGATTTTACGCTATAGTGCAAGCATTTCCTTTGGAGAGTCATTTACCAAAGTTGAAAGAGTAACCTTTATGTCACTCCTGGGGGCAGTCGTGTGGTGTATTGAAAAAGGATCCAAAATGCAGGTATTGGCTGGGGTGCGAGTGAGTTTTTATTTACAGCGGTGAGAAGGTGACAAAACAGGAAGAGCAGAGCAGGGAGTAAACAAACCTAAACTGGGAAAACTAAAGAACAAAACTTAAAGCAGACACTCACGGGAGGAGGAGCAAAATGCACAAAGAGAGATGGCAGAGAGACGCAGAATGAATACCGGGTAACAGAATAATGCAGACTGACATGGAACTAAACAGACGACGTGACAGAGAGCACAGGAAAACACAGGGCTTAAATACACAGGGAGTAATCAGGGAATGGGCCACAGGAAGGAGACACAGCTGGGAGCAATTAGGCTAACGAGACAGGGAGAGGTAAAACTGAACACACTGACATGAGACATGAACTTTCAGAATAAAACAGGAAACTAACAGACACAGAGAACCAGACAGGACACTGAACTTGACAGGCAGACTCATGAGCAGACACAATAACACCATGGACAGACAGAGGGAACACAGAGAAGGGAGCAGCCAGGCAAAGAACAGAAACCTAACAAATGGCAATATCACAACAGAATACATACTCGGAATGAACAAAAGCATAAGGAAACACAAAACACTGAGTCCTCAGACTCAGGACCATGACACTTTATCCTTCAAGAAAAAACAAAAAGAAGAAAAAAAAACCCTCCACACTGCACAATAAGAATATAGAAACTGATTTATTCATTTGACTACTGAAAAAATGTTTTAAAGGTTTTCTTTAGCATCTTTATCACTGTCAGCTTTGCAGTTCTTTTGCTGACAGAGACATCACTCATGTCCCTCACACTAAACAATTAAAGAACCAATTAGAAATAAGCCCTGAGCTGACAAACAACAGTCCTCTGAGAACTTTAATCTCTAACAGTTCTTTGATGCTTTATCCAAATTTTCTAAAAATACTTTACCCTCTGCAGGCCAACACTGTATATATGAATGTGTTCTTTGCTTGATTAAATAAAGCATAAATAGACTCACTGCTCCACCTTGTGGTATAAATTTCTTTATAAATTATTGCATTGAAATGCAGCCAAAGCCAATTCAGATTCAAACAGAATTTTAAACAGTAAAATAGAAATAAAGACTTAAAAAAGAATGAAAATATAAAACTAGAAAAATATTGAACTTATTAGATCATTGCAGTGTTCTTCTTTAAACATGAAGTTTGAACTTTTGCTGTAATAGTAACTGGATGTAAAATATATTTCTATAGATTTATATTACAAGCACTACTGCTAAACACTGTTTCCTGAAGGAAAATTATTTGAATGTAAGAGGGATAACATTTTAGAGCAATAAAATTTCCCACGCGTGGGACAAATAAAGGTTATCTTATCTTATTTATGCAAAATTAAAAGAAAGAAAATTGATGTGCATATCTTTACTTACACCTTCCCAAATTAAACATTCAGGATTACTTCCTGCAGGTCCAGAAATCAAAGCTACATCATCAGATCCAAGTCTGGCATCAGCTGACACTTTTTGCAGCAGATTCCAGCTGAACTCTGTGGAGCCTGATCTGATTTTAAGTCTGACCCAGAAACCAGAAGAGGATCTTCAGATTCATTGTGATCCAGAGATGGGAGTGATTTCATGATGACGCTGATGTTTGCACAGAGCAGATAATGAAGTGAACGTTTTTACACATTGGTAACAGTGAAAGAGTTTATTTGAAACATGGGATCGTTTGTGATCGGAGTATGTAGTGAGATTCCTAAAACTCTTGTCACACTGGTCACAGCTGAAGTTCTCTTCCATGTGTCTATTTTCATGTTTGTTACGAGACCCTGGATGTGAAAAGCTTCTGTCACAGTGTCTGCACTTGTATGGTTTCTCTCCTGTGTGGACTCGTTTATGACATTTAAGCTCACCTGCAGTGGTGAAGGATGACCCACATTGGTCGCAGATGTGCTTTTTAACACCACTGTGGAAGAGTTCGTGTTTTTTTAAATCACCTAACGTGGGGAAGCCTTTCCCACATTCTTTGCAGTAGTTCATTTTGTCTCCAGTGTGTCTACGTTGATGTATTTTTAGGTTTCGTTGCTGAGTGAAAGTTTTTCCACAAAGGTCACATCGAAAGTCTTTCCCACCACCACAGTGACGACAGGCTTGAGAACTGGATCCATCTGTGTCGCTCTGCTTCTAAACAAAGACACAAAGACAGAGTAAGTCAGGGAATTCCTTCAACTTTATCATCCTGAACGTTGCCTGAAATAAAGAGCATCTCTGCCAACGTCCAATTACATTTCTTCTGTTTACATTATAACACTCAGCTTACTGGGCTACAATAACTGTCTTTGATGTAGAGGAACAGCAACAAGCACTGGTACCCTGGCTGCAAACAGAGGCTCACCATACTTTGAGGAAATGTAAGTAAAACCTATAGACTATTAAAAGTAATGCATTAAAGAATAAAGTTACATTGAAACCAAGCACCATTGTTTTTCTTCTGACATTACCAATAAATCTGATGTGTCACATGGCCCTCTTCCTATTGAAAAAACAAAAGTTGCATCCAAGATGGCCGACTTCTAAATAGCCACTATGGTCACCTCCCATCTTGATGAGTTTGCTCCCTCACATATACTAATATGCCACAAACAGGACTTTAATATCACCAACCATTCCCATGTTATTACGGTGTATCCATATAAATGGCCCACCCTGTCTTTACATGTAACATTGTTATGAAGAAAAAATGTCAAAAGCAACCACTGGCCCCCGTGCATCTTTACTTTATAAAATTTGGCCCTTTTTACAAAAAGTTTGGACACCTGTGCTGTGCATAAAGCAGGGGTGTCAAACGTACGGCCCCCGGGCCGGATCAGGCCCACAAACGGGTTTAAAACGGCTCGTGAGATGATTTTGTAAAGTATAAAAATGAGCAGCAATTTTTCAATAAAGAAGCTGCTGTTCCAATTGTGTCCATTGGATGGCGCAATAGCAATTGTGAGCTACTTTGTTTTGCCCGCGAAATTTAAACCTGATGTGCTTTGGCACCCT